CCAGATTTCGCATATCACTTGAAATTCTTTTCGTGGACCCATCGTGTCAATTAAATACCACTCTCAAAGCACAACTAAGTGCATTATATAAATGTATGTATGACTCATGCCACAAGCATGAAATATGAAAAACGGTACTTTCCCGTTTAACATTTATATTTCTGTCGACTATATCTAAAAATCAATGAAGTGTATGTAGACTTTTGTCAATGATTTTTTTAGGTTTTTTTCGAATAACTTTGTTAATTTATATTGATGAATGGATTTTCTTTTGTTTATTATTATTAAAAAACAGTTCTAAACAAAACTGTATCATTACTTTTTTCTATTATGTCCCTGGATTTACGAGCTAGCAAAAATGGGGGGTGTATGTAGAGTTTTGTCGCTGACTGTATATTAAACAGAATTGTCCACAAATGGATCATATATTAAATTTCTATAAGGTTCGCTTAACAACTACAAAATGTATTAAGATATTGAAAACTTACAACAAAAATAAGTTATATTGACAATTTTTTAAAAAAAAATTTTTTCATTAATGAGACTTGGTTTTTGCTTGGCTCATATGTTAGCGAACAAAATTCTCACAACTATAGCAGTGGCGTCTACAAGTAACTACCGATCATTACATCCACAAAAATGGTATATATAATGTGACATCACATATAGAGGCGTGGTTGAAAATAACAAGAATGTGAAATAATCCATAAAATATTAAAGAAATAGCTTCTTGATTATCTAATTTTCTTAGGTTACAGTTCAATGAGACGATGGCATGAGCTAGTCAATCTAATTTTTGTAATGTGAATTGGCCACAGTTATCATGCCATTTGTTACTACTTCTTAAATTCTTTACTTCTAAGAGGAGCATAGAATCTTAATATTTAACTTATATCTAACTTTGTTACGATCATTAACAGTGCCGTAGTTCCTGGTATAATTAGCCTTTCGCATTTCCCTTTCAATCGTACGCCTCCATGCCCTAGCTGGGAACGTCTAGAACATTGTGCGTTCCAGCAGAGAGCCTGTCAGGCAATGTTATTATTTAGTCGTCTTACTGTGTGTGCCACCCAGTTCAATTTGTGGTATTTTATCTTACGATTCCTCGGTATATGTCTATAAATCATTTGTTAGCATCGTTGTACTATTTATTGCGAGATTACTCAAAGGGTTATGTAAATGTGGAAAAATCTTAAGCTCTCGACATTTTAAAAATTAATTTTAGTCGAGTTAAGGCTGAGGTGTTGTCAGTTATATACCGATAAATGATCGAAAATTATGTTTAATAAATCCAGTAGTGAAAGTTGTTTAATTGAGTAGGATTTTTCAACAGTCAGTTAGTCCGCAAACTAACTATCACATCATTAACTCAACCACTACGTGAAATATTTAATTTTTACTTTTAAAAATATTAGTTTTTGGGAAGAAATTTGGACGAGTCCTTGCTGTTCCTTATGAAATTAATTGAATATTCATCTAATCTGCTGTCACGTTTTGAGCTAAAATAAAATGGATAACGCCGTATAAGCTTCATATTAATTAATGAATATATGAGTTCAATAAGCATGACATTTTGTTAATAATAACACCAATAGTTTTTAAATAGAAAGTCTCAGAATCAAAATATAAGATAAATCAGATTTATGTATATATATGCATGTATTTATATATATATATA